AAAAAAAAAAAAAAAAAAAGAAATAGAAATTTCTATTAAAGCACATGTTAACATTAATAATTACATAAAGCTAATATTTATTGAGGTCTTATGTGCCTGGTACTTTTTTGAAATTTTTATTCATGCACTTTTGCAGTACATACTGGTGACATTCACTGTAAGGGGTTAGTACACATACACAACACGTTTCAATTCCCTTCCTTTTCCTACCTCTACTGCCTTTTATTTATCCAGCATTGGATTCATTTATTTCTCTTATAAGACCATATAAAGTTAATTATCATATATGCTGATTAAAAACCAGACTAATACGTGCCAGATACTCTTGAGATTCCCTGATCACTCAATTATCTCATTTAATACTCACAATCACCTTATAAGGGTGAAACTGGTTATTTCAATTTTCTGAGGTATAAAGTAAAATAAATAGTTTATGTAAATAGCTCAAGGGTCCACAGCTACTAAGTAATGCAAACTTCTGAGTCTTAGGCCAGCTTTGCAGTCACCAGGCTATATTTTCTTTCATCCATAGATCATACTGTTTGAAATATAAATCAAAAGTATTTCACTCCTCAGGACCATGATCAGCTAAATTTTCAAAGTTCCTCTTTGCAGCCTTGTAGTTTATCTTTCAACAGCTTCATTTTCTGAAATTTGAGTGAAGACTATATCTTATTTAAAAGTAATGTTTCCTATTATCCTAATTCATTAAAAATTAGTTTTGTCAAATGTTCCATTCTACCTAATTTGTCAATAGAGCAATTCAGAGAGATGATGATAATTGCTGGGGAAATTCACATACAGATTTTCCTATTTTACTTTAATAAAAACCAGTTCCTAGAAATTACTAACCAATCCTTTTGAATTTTGTTATGATTTGTGTTAAACAGAATTATTGTGCTTAGGCTGAATGGATGCCAATCTGTTTGTTCAATGATTTAAACTGACCCGGAAATAGAATCGAATTAACATCCTATGTAAATCTTGGGGAGAAAGTATTACCCTATATGAAAGCTTCTATTTTTAGTGTCTTTTTAAGTTTTATGTAACTTTTGTATAAATTCATCCATTCTCTATGATCACTCTTCCAATTTACTACGATTTTAAATTTGTTGTGATCCAGAATGATGACCATGTGCCTGAATTCTGAGAATCCTTAGGAAATGCAGCATATTTTCCCTGTTGTAAAAATTATGGCTATTTGGTAGAGAACATTGGCAACTTTATTTAGTCCTTCTTTCTAGAATGCATTAGACATGTTATTGCTTCCCAAGAGACTACTTACAAAAATACTAATACAAATGAAGCTAATTTAAATATACTATATATTGTTCATGGCACTAATAAAAATTGATACTGACATTCTCATCTTCTTATTATACTCTGTGTCAGCTACTATCATCACCATTAAAAAAGCAATTTATAACCACAGGCCCACCTTTAATCATATTCCTTATTAGCATTTCCAGTCTTTCCTCTAACACAATTCAGGTTACAGGTGGTGTTGAGAAAGCTCTCCTCCGTCTTTCTAAATCATGACCACTGCATTATCTCTGCTCTCTTCTTTTATTACTATTATCCTTAATCGGAACCTCATGCTATTGCATTTACTAATATTGGTAATTGTCTCATGCATTGGCAAAATGTTTTATACCAGCCAAGCCCCCTTCCTCTAATTAGGAAAATATATTCTGGCCTCTGAAATGGCTTTCCTATGTGAGCCCTTAGGGAGACAAATGAATTCAAGGCTCTTAAATACATTAGCCCTTTCGTGGTTTATTGCTACTTACCAATTTGTTGGCTTAAATTTTGTAATGCAAATTTTAAGTTTGAGGCTTGATTTTACTTTTTATTTTTTTACTGCATTAAAACCCCACCATTTGGCATCTTCTTGGAAGTTTTAACCCGCTAAATAGTTTATGAGCTATTACATATATAAGAATAACATTTCATCAATTTGTGATTAGAGATCCAGGTGTTTTTTTCTTTTTCCTTCTATTTCATTTCATTTACTTCAGGCCTTATTAGGTAAACATTGTAATGCTTGATTGTTTACTTTTCAATTTCTCTCTTTTTTTGAAAGCAAAGTTTCCTTTAACAGTCAGGATTTTATTAGAACTTACCTATTGCAAAAATAATGGGAGACAACAACTAGAGGAAAAAAATGAGCAGAAACTTATTTTTAATCATAGCTGTTCCACAAGCTGTCACGAATGTGGATAAAAGTACAGAGAAAGCTTTTCCTTTCCTTTCATCACTGTCATTTCCAAACGGAGGGCTTGTAGCACATTTTGGGTATTTAGTAGCGCGTGTACTGTATTCATGTTGGTGATATACCTTTCTAAATGTCCCGGCCAGACCTGCAAATCAGAACCCAAGAAAATGACACTTAAAGAAAAACCCACTTTGTGCCGGAAACCAAAGTGACACCAATGCAGCTGGCTGATGGTACAGATTTATTTTAGAAGAACAGTGTCCACGCAGAGGAGGGGAATTAGGCACGACCAGTCACCCGCCTCCTCCACCCTCCCGGTCCACGCCTCTGAGTAACTCAGACGCTCTGTGAGCCTTGTCACTGACTGAAGAAGTACTCTAGGAAGATTATGCTATGTTAACTGTACTGTACTTACTAGGACAGAAACGTACCTTCGAACATAGCGAGGAAGCTTTTGACAAGAATAAACACAAAAAGGAGTGTGTAGTTTAGCAAGAAAACACAATGATCTGTAACGCTGCCTGTATTTATGTGTTAGCTTTTAGCATTGAACCTGCTGTTGAGTGGACCTCAATAGGTGCGTATTGAATGAATTGTTCAAACAATGTGCACGGCATCTAATTGTGCGCATACAGCAAGCCTGTGAGACAGGCAAGACGGACGACACTATCTGCATTTAACTCATGAGCCAAGTTCAGGGGAGGTGCTTTATATTCTTTACCTTTTCTCCTTCTGTGCTCAAATATTATCACAAGAGTATCAGTGGCTTCTATCATAGAAGACGAGAGTTTAAGGCCCTAACATCTCTAGAAATCAGCGGTGAAACATCATCCCTGCAGG